CTGCTGAGATCTTGCAATCTGGACCACCAAAGAAAGTGAATGTGACTCTTACCTAGCTCTAATAATTGACTGTGGGTGAGAAGAAACTAGTTAATATGAGAATCTTGGAGAGGTTAACTAGAACAAATCAAATTTTGTACGGATTAACCTTCAATCTCTCACTCATTGAATACATATAGGAAAGAGAAAACATTCATATCCCATAAGACAAGAGTAAGAAGCAAAAGAATTGCCTAAGTATGTCTAGCAGTTAGAAACTGAAACTAGTTCCATTGTCTCCCAGTGAATCATGTGACATTGGCAAGATCACTAAACTTCTGTACTTAATCTACCAATAAAATAGATGTGATAATAAAACCACACAGTATTGTGAGACTTGCTCATTGTGAGCATAGCAAGTGAACGTAGCTGTAGACCTATACAAGACTGTATTGTTATACAGTATGAACACATCATGACCATACTCTGGGTTTCATCTGCAAATTCCCGATCTCTCTCTGCAGTATGTCCTCCCTGCACAGCATGCTTTGCTATTTGAAAACACATCACACAATAAGCTGAAGGAGGAGGACTGACTATAAGCTGTCCAAAATTTACAGTGATCAGTATGTTGTTTCTCAAGGGGCACATTTGAAGATTTAGTTTATAAAGAAAGTTCATGGAAGAAAATCTAGGCTAGTCACACTCTCAAGTCCCACAGATGTCAGACATCTTTGAAACCAGTGGCATTTGCCTGCATTAAATTAAGAATGTGCATTGTGTTTGCAATATTGGGGACCTGCCACTTCTGGATTTAGGGTGTGGGGGGGGCTCTGCATGAAGCCGCTTGAAAGATTGGAGCCTGGGTTAGCAGCTTATTACAGTGTAATGTGTCCCTTGACATTGTACATTTTCTACTTAGCACACTTCGGCTATGTCTACACGTGCGGCTTCTAGCGCAAGAACATCTTGCGCAAGGGTTCTTGTGCAAGAAGTCTTGCGCAAGGAAACGTCCACACTGCCATGTGCGAGCTGTGCTTTTGTGCAAGAGCACCCATGGCAGTGTGGATGCTCTCTTGCGCAAGAAAGCTCTGGTGGCCATTTTAGCCATACGGCTTTCTTGCGCAAGAAATCCCTGCCGAGCGTCTACACTGACCACTTGCACAAGAGCTCCTGCGCAAGAGGGCTTACACCTGTTAAAAAAGAGCGTAGCTCTTGCGCAAGAAGCCCTCTCTTACCACGCCGTACTGTAAATTTCCTTGTGCAAAAGCGGGCGGGCAGTGTGGACACTCTGCAGATTCTTGTGCAAGAACAGCCATACTTGCGCAAGAACCCACAAGTGTAGACATAGCCTTGGATATTAACAGTACATGCAGCTTATGGGCATGTGTTTGTGTACACACACTTTGGAAAGGGTATAGTCGCAGGCTGCAAAATTAAAATGTACCCCATATCTCAGTGTTTCCTCTATTATAGAGACAAGCGGATGAGGCAATATCTTTCACAGGACTTATTTCTGATGGCAAAAGACTAACAGCTCTTCTTTGGGTCAGCATTTTGTTGGATAAGTAACCACTAAAACAAACAATACATTTTAAGACTTCGACATTTTAATGTGGCCTAATTATCCAAGGAGGAAAAATGCAGGGTAACTGTTGCTCATAATTTAAAATAGTCTTCATATGTGCTGAACATTAGTTCTGCATTCTACAAAATTACTGGATTTAAGACAGTTTACATTTCTAGATGCAACTGCCAAAGGTGACCACTAGGGGGCGGTCGTGTTCTGACTGAACACAATAACTGTTCAGTACAGCTATAATTTCACTGTTCTATAGCTACAAACTGAGTATTTATGTTTCTGTATATAATTCTCATAACCTTTCAGTAGTGCTATTTTTCTAGTGGCTGACAACACGCAGACAGACAAACATGCACACCAACAAAAATGAAGTTACTGCATAAACAAATATGATTCTCCAATTACTTCCACATACATTCCTATAGGAATATTATATAACATAGTAAGCAGATTTCCAGCATAACAGATGACTTTCTAGTCCTCTTCTATTACAGGAAAAAAAGCTGCCTTTTATGTGCTTTACATTATTCCTTCCCCATTCATTAGGGTTACCAACTTTCTAATCACACAAATCCCAAACCCCTTGCCCTGTCCCCTTCCCCAAGGCCACTCCCTTTCCCTCTGCCTCTTCCCTGAGGCCCTGACCCTGCTCACTCCATCCGCCTCCTTCTGTTGCTCGCTCACCCCACCCTCACTCACTTTCACCAGGCAGAGGGTTAAGGTGTAGGACGGGGAGTGGATCTGTGAGGGTATGTCTACACTACCCCGCTAGTTCGAACTAGCGGGGTAATGCAGGCATACCGCACTTGCAAATGAAGCCCGGGATTTGAATTTCCCGGCCTTCATTTGCATAAACCGGGCGCCGCCATTTTTAAATCCTGTACTCGGAGTACATGAGGAGTACAGCTAGTTCGGATTAGGAAGCCTAATCCGAACTAGCTACTCCGTGCCGCGTGTACCCGCGCGGCACGGGGTTCGAACTAGCCGGGATTTAAAAATGGCGGCGCCCGGCTTATGCAAATGAAGCTCGGGAAATTCAAATCCCGGGCTTCATTTGCAAGTGCGGTATGCCTACATTACCCCGCTAGTTCGAACTAGCGGGGTAGTGTAGACATACCCTGAGGGAGTTTAGGTTTGGTAAGAGGCTCAAGGCTGTGGCAGGGTTCAAAGTTTGGGAGGAGGCTCTCCGTTTAGGGGGTGTGAGGGTGCAGGCTGGGCAGTTCCTGAAATTGACTGGCATGTTCAGTAAGGTTATCAAAGCTCCCAGACTGGGCTGTAGTCTGCCATAATCAGCACTGTTATCCTAATGGCTATTGAAAGCCATCTGGGAGATTTTTATAGGCCACTAAAAGTCCAATCAGAGGCACAGCAGGACTGAGGCAGACTCCTTACCTTCTCTGGCTCCATACAGCTCCCAGAAGCAACAGGCATGTCCCTCTGGCTCCTATGTTCAGAAGCAATTAAGGGCAGCTTTACTATATGCCCTTTGTTATTGTTTACTCCTGCTTATTGATCATAAAGGATCTTTTTGAAGTGCCTCACTCCGTGAACTGCTTGCTTCAGAGTGCCTCCATCAGCATGTCTGTATGTTGCTGAGCCTCATGATCTCACTCTACAATGCTTTACCAACAGGAGTTTAGGATATATCTCCATGAGTTCAAAGAACCCTAAAATAGTTCCATCCATAAATACAGTTTGGAAATAATATATTCTATTGAATAGCTTCATTCATCTAAAATTTAAAAGAGGGTTGGTTACTAAATCTGGTTTGCAAAAGATATGCCAAAATATTCTTTCAGGATTGACATTGGCCCAATAGCAATAAGGGTAGCTTCTTACCACCTTCATTGCTAAGAGCAAGAACCAAATTAAAGACTAACTTTGGGTTCTCTAACCCTGGCTTTGTCAAGTGATAGAATTGTTGAGAGGATAAAACTTTAACCTCCCAGGAGAGAGAAGTGACAATTATGTCTTGTTTCTAAATATGTTTTGAACTGCCGGGTGGCTTTCACCCAACATAATTTATATCTGTTTTCAAGTGCAGAGCCACCATGTAACTATAACTTCCATATCTTGTGTGGGAGACTGACAGAATTTAGTTGGAAATAAATTAACCTAAAATTAAACTGTATAAAACCCATCATCTCTTTTGGCATAAAGATCAATAAGTGAGAGATGGGAAAGTCTCTGGCCTAGTGTCTGCAGCTCCACCATTACCTCAAGGAAGTCTCACGCCAAAACATAGAAAAACGTTTGAAATGCCTCCATTCCAAAGATCCATCACCATTTCATTGGGGTGGGAGAGGATATTAAAATGGTCTTTTTGTACATGGGGGCTGTGTCTAGACTGCATCCCTTTTCTGTAAAAGGGATGCAAATTAGACACCGTGCAATTGCAAATGAAGCAGTGATTTAAATCTTCCCCGCTTCATTTGCATAAACATGGCTGCTGCTTTTTTCCGGCTCGGGGCTTTACCATCAAAAAGCGCCAGTCTAGATGGGGATCTTTCGGAAAATAAAGCCTTTTCCGAAAGATCCCTTATTCCTTATTTTAAGAGGGATAAGGGATCTTTCGGAAAATGTTTTATTTTCCAAAAGATCCCCGTCTAGACTAGCTCTTTTTTCCGGCAAAGCTCCAAGCCAGAAAAAAGCAGCAGCCATGTTTATGCTAATGAAGCGGGGGGGGGGATTTAAATCCCTGCTTCATTTGCAATTGCGATGTGTCTAATTTGCATTCCTTTTACGGAAAAGGGATGCAGTCTAGACACAGCAGGGGAGTATGAGTACTGAGAAGGATTTTGATGTCTGACTAAAAGTAAGACAACAGAAGCTTAAGCTGAGAATCAGCAAGGACTTCTAATGGTGGAATCTATTTATACTGCTGCATGCATTTCCTAAGGATTGGAGCTGTTTTGCCAGGAACACTTAATACTTACTGGATAGACCAACAGAAAATACAGTATAAGGAAAAACCTCACCCTTTGTGGGGAGGAGCCAACAGATATTGTAAGAGAAAAGACTCTCACTACGTTCATTTCCCCACTCTCATGGGAGATTTTGTTGTTGTTCTGATTTCCAAAGTATTGTTTAAATGGGTCACAAGAAATAAAGCTAAAGCAGAACTAAACAAGCAGTCTGGTATATATTTTTTCTTTGATTAAGTAAATAATTTGGTGAAATCTTTTAGCTACCATACAACTAAGCAGGACAGAATAACAGAAAGAAAATACCAATAGCTTAAATGAGAGAGACACACTTCTAAATATAGACTTTATGGAACTGTTGACTTCTAAGTTCATAGGACTCATTTCCATTGTTTCTTAATGGTTCTTTTTCATCTGCCATGTCACCGTCTTTCATTTGTGCAAAATAGGCAGGAGAGGCTTTGTATTCATAATGCCTATCAAGAGACTTCAGGTGGATCAACATATGAAGAGCATAGGCCAGGACTAGAAGCAAAATCAGTGACATAACCAAGCCCATCAGAATTGCTGGTGAGAAAAAGGATGCACAATCTTTGGCATAAGCAAACTGTCCTCCTTCAATGTTAAAGCCTTGAATCTGTAAAGAGAGTAAAATGATTTATGTTAAAAATCCTCTTTCCTGGGTAGGAGGCACTTCATGATTTTGCTCCTATTACTACGAAAGGATTTGATTCACTTAATTTATTCATGTCAGTGCACTTGACTCTGGGGTCTAAAGGATTTGCAGTTATATTTTAAACTAAATCTTCTGTGATCATTTTTGAGAGCCAAGTCAAATATAACTATAAGCTTGATAATTCTGCTTTGCAAGGTATTCCCAGTTTGGTTTTTTTTGTAGGAGTCAACAGTTTCCATTTCTGATTGTACAAATATGGACACAGGTGTCCTGAGACTTTTCCAAGGTTTCACTTCATCTTATTACCTGGAAATCGATAAAAGTGACTTCCCAGAGCCTGGACTCATCGTTTGCGGAGCTGGGCATCAGGAGTGCATTATACCTCTGCAAACTGCTCACATGTTCACAGTGGTACGAATAACTTACTGGAGCAAATATTCTGGTTGCATTAAATGTCGCTTGTACAGAATGGTTGTAAAGTAGCTGTATTCTGTATAAACTAAACCAGTTCTGAACGGACAGCTTGTAATAACTGTTTGTCAATAAGAATCTGAAATTTTTTAAAAGAGAGAGAATTAGTAAAGTTGCAAATGTGACAGCATACATTATTCAATCCAACAAATAGAATAGCCATACTAGATTCATTAAAGTCAACAGATCTATGCCAATTTACACTAGAAAAGGCTCTTGTTCTTTCTGTTGCTGTATGGGAGACCTAAGTCTCTAAAACAATGTTGTTTGCTTGCTGCTGCAGCTGAAGAAGGTCATTGGTCAGTCACACAGGACTAGTCCAAGGCAGAGAAAGGAGATCATAAAAAACTTGAGCATCTTCTGACTCCGTAATTATGGAACAGCATTAGGAGAACATCATCCATTCTGCCTCCCTCTCTGCAGCTACAGAGCAGATTCTGCCTGGGTAGCTGACCAATGAGAAGCAAGCCCATGGAGGAAAACAAAGTAAAAATACATTGAAGAAATTCCTCTAGTTGAAAACCTTAACTCAGCCAAGCAATGGTCTACACAGCAAAGTTATTTCGAAATAACAGCCCTTATTTTGAAATAACTTTCCTAGTGTCTACACAGTCTACATAGAGGAGAGCTTATTTCAAATTTGGTAAACCTCATTCTACAAGGAATAACGCCAAATTTGAAATAGCTATTTTGAAATAAGTGCTGTGTAGACACTTATTTTGAAATAGGGAGCTTCCAGCCTTCCCAGGGTGCCCTGCTGGCCACTCCAGCCTCACCCAAGGATACTCCACTCCCTCCCTCACTCCCGGGAGTCCTTAAAGGGGTTGACTCTGGCCACAGTGCCTGTGCCAGCTCCAAGACTGCCAGCCCAGAGCCAGCAATCAGTGCCCCTCACCCAGTGGCCCCAAAACATGAGCCAGCAAGCCACTGGCAGCCAGCCCTCCACCGCTCCCCAGGAGCAGTCTGCCAGATCCCAGGAGCCTGCCAGGGCCTAAAGAAGGCGGGAGCCTTCCTGGTCCAGGGTGGATATCATGGACCTTATTCAGGTTTGGGGGGGATGCCCCCAACGTCCATGATCTCCACACTAGATGGAGGAAGGCAACCATCTATGGCAGGATAGCTGCCAGCCTGGCCACCAAAGGCCACATGCGAACCCAGGAGCAGGTTCACATGAAAATCAAGTTGGTCCAGCAAAACCCCAAACCCTGAGCCCTGAGCTTCCCCTCCCTCTTCTTCCCCTTGCTTCCCACTTCGAGATCCCTACTCCCAGGTTTCCCCCTTCCCTCTCCCACCCTCTCTTCTCCCCTCTCCCGCCTCCTTTCCCCAGTCTCACCAGATTTTCATTCCCCCATCCCCCGTTCTGTTAAATAAAGAGAATTTGTGCTCCTGAAAATACGTGTATGTTATTTGATATCAGGAAGAGGGGTTAGTGAGGGGTAAGTGAAAGGACGTGAGGGAGGAATGAGGCATAAGCCCATAGTGGGGCAGACCAGGGAGGCTCTTAGTGCTCCTCAGGGTGGAAGCTCTCCCGCAGGGCCTCCTGGATACTGACAGCTCCCCAATGGACCTCCCAGATGGCAGCCTGCAGAAAGTGCATCCAGGCTCACAGCAACATGTCCAAGAGAAGCACCAGCGTGCCCAGGGGCAGCTTTGGCTCCATGTTGCAGAGTGCTGTGGGCAGAGTGCTGTGGTGGCCCGAGTGAGGGCAACCAGAGCATGCAGAGACAAAATGCTTTGCTGTCCCACACAGTAAGTCCTGACCTAGTGCCCTGCCGGAACTGGTTCCGGCCAGCCTTAAATGAGATTCAGAGTCCACTCGGTGTGGATTCATTATTTCAAAATGCATTTTGCATGTAGACGCGTTATTTTGAAATCACACTGTAGTGTAGACATACCCTTAGAAAGCATCATATTGCCACTAGCTTGCACTCCCATGTAAATACAATTTTCCAAACCACAGTTTAAGGGAAGATGTAATTGATACAGTAATGTAAAGCTTTGTTTTCTCAAGACTTGGTCCTACAAGGTTCTGAGAGTCCCCTACCAGCTTGCAGGAACTCCTCCTCCAAGCATAAGCCAAAGGCCATTAAGTCAATAGAAAGAATCCCATTGGCTCTGATGGGCATTGGCTCAAGTCCTTAGACAGTAAAATTGTGAAATTTGGAATTCATATAAAGTTTATCCACATTCACAAGTACATTGAAAGATTAAATTGTTTACATGTGTAGTGTAAACTGGTCTCATGTTACACATGTGTACATAACATGTATTGCTCCATGCACATAAGTATTTAATATTGTCCCGGTGGGTGCTAGATGCTTTACAAAAGACATAACAGAAACAGCCTATGCCCCAAAGAGCTTATGGCCTAAACTTTATATATGATACAACAAGTGAGGGAGCATTGTGGAGCAGATGTAGTGTGAATAGATGGGGTATGATGCATGGCCAGAAAGGGTTAAACATCCTTCAGGATAAATGTCCCAAGCTCAACCTTTAGGGTGTGTCTAGACTACAGAGTTTTGTCGACAAAAGTGGACTTTTGTCGACAAAACTATACCTGCGTCTACACTACCGCTGAGTTCTGTCGACATAACATCGACAGAACTCAGCATTTTTGTCGACGCTGGTAAGCCTCATTTTACGAGGCATTACACCTTTTGTCGACAGAGTTCTGTCGACAGAAGGTGTTATTGCATCTAGGGTTGTGTCTAGACTACAGGGTTTTGTTGACAAAGCGGCTTGCTTTGTCGACAGAACTGAATGTAGTCTAGACGCTCTTTGTCGACAGAAGTTTTGTCGACAGTATCTGTCGACAAAACTTCTGTCGACAAAAGCCTGTAGTCTAGACGTACCCTTAGAGACATACTGTTTAGATAGATAGATATATTGTTAGAGGTTAACAATGTAACCAAAGGCTTTGTCTACATTGCGCATTCTTGTGCAAGAAGATATGCAAATGAGGCGTGGCGATGAATATTGCCACGCCTCATTTGCATACCTAATGAGCCCCCATTTTTGTGCTCATTAGCTAAACTGCTCTTTCTTGTGCAAAAACCCCCTCTTGCGCAGAAGTCGTTCTTCCTGAAAACAAGCAGCAGAATGGCTCCTGTGGTCAGCAAAGGGCCAGTATAAGAATATCCATTTGCATGACTGAAAATATACAACTCAATATAGTTGATAATTGACATGATAATAATAGTATAAATGAAACACTGTACTCACAGACGTTATTTAATGAGACTTCTGCTGCTGCTGGGGTTGCAGTTTGTAGATGTGGGGTTGCAGGAGTCAGGGTTGGGGCGTATGAAGGGCTCAAAGCAGGGGGTTGGGGTATGTGGGAGGTGCAAGAGGCAGGACAGGGAGCTGGGGGTGCGAAGTAGAAAATAGTTGTGGGTGGGAGAGCTGGGGCCAGATTACCTTACCTGATGCGGGCTGAGCTGCTGCATCCAGGCAGCAGTGGCCAGATGAGGGGCCAGGCCAGGATCACCACAGCTGCATCACTGCAGCCAGATCGTGGCCTTCTCTCTTAACTGTGCGGAAGCAGGGTGGGGGGCTGCCACCAGCCCTTCCTCTGGTCAGAGGGGGGCCAGACCATGGGGCCTTACCCAGAATCAGGGACAGGACACTGTGGCCAGGTGGGGACAGGCTGCTGGAGTCTTCTCACTATCCAAGCTGGAAGCGTGCATGCATCCCCTATAGTGTACCCTTAGCTGGCCCTTTAAATGAGCGGAGTGCTCCAGCTGGCTCTTGCCAGAGTGCAGCCGGTTCTTACAGGCATTCACTGCCTTCCTTTCATCTCTGGTGAAAGGTGAAATAGACAAAAAGACTATCTTGAGGGGAGTAATTATGCATTTTTAAAATGTCGAATTGTTCATTTCAATTTTAAAAGTTGCACATATTTTGGGAATGACAAAAGAGCCATATTTGGTTCTGTACTGAGCCATAGGTTGCTGATCCTTGCACTAAAGGCTGAGAGAGTTCAGGTGGAGGGGAGGAGCTTCAGGTGGGAGTTTGCACCCTATGATTGCTCTTGATGAGAGAAGGGAAGAGGGATGGAAAAGGCTCTTGAAATGAGCTTCAGAGAAAGCTAACCCACAAACAGATGGCCTTAAGTTTAGACAAGGAGCTGAGGAACCAGGCTCAGGAGAAAGAACAAGGAGGATAGAGCCTATTAGAGAGGGGTCTGTTGCTATATAAAGGAGCCATGGATAAACTACAGGAGGGAGCCAGCTGTGATGGGCCCTGAAATTATAGATTAAAGATTTGGAAGAGGAACAGTGAGCTGGAGGAGAAAGCCAGTTGAATGAAAAGCAGGATGGGCACTAGTAAGTTAATGTGTTTGGTTTTGTTTGAAGGTTTTTGAGTTAGCTGTATACACTGGGGAGAAGTTTGGAAACCCGCTACTCTGAAAGAAGAAGAGGAGGAGCTGAAGACAGTGTATGGATGAGTAGGATTTTGCTGAACACTGTCTTTTTGGGGAACAGTGATACCCTGGAAGGGTTCAGGTTGTAGGTGACCTAGGTGGAGGGCTGAGTCACAAGAAGCAGTGGACCACCAGGAGGCTTAGCGGGTGAAGGGAGCCTGTGGCACAGCAGTGAGGCAATTCATCTTGGGGAAAAAAATAGGGGAAAAAATAAAACTAAAAGAAAATTGCTTATTTAAATTAAACTCAATTAAATATAACTGTCTGGTTTATGTTTCACTATATAATTAACAAATCTGACTCGCAACCCTTGCTGGTATGTAACCCTTCTCACAGTTAATTTCCCAGACAGTCTGCATTACAAGTCATTCAGTAGTTATTAACATTTGATAATCTAATAATTGTCTTTGTTCTTAATCTAGTAAACCTACCTAATAACAAGCCCCTTGAGATTGTCAATGTCACCAAACTTAAGTGAAAGCCTAGATCAAAAAGAAAACAATGTCAAGTTGAAATGCAAATCAAAGTGGGGGGGGGGAGGTAACGGATGCTCATCAAACAATCAAAACATGCATACAACAGACAGTATTTTGAGGCTTTCTTCAAATCCCACTCAAGTCAATGGAAAAATTTCAGTGGTGAAATCCTGGCCTTTTGAAGTCAACAGGGATTTTGCCGTTGCCTTGAATGTGGTCTGGATTTCACAGTAGGAAAGAACTTAACTAAGTGTTTAACTTTAAGTGTGTAGTTAAATCCAATTGGCTTTAACATCTGTTTATCTAGAGCATAGTCAGGGCCATGAAGTACAAATGATAAGGTATGTATCACCTTCCAATCTCAGAAGAAAGTACTGCAATAATATAAGCCATTCTTTGTCTCATAGACCCAGCTACTGTGTTACAAATCCATATATCGGAGTACAAAGTGTTGTCTACATACAACACCACTGAATCAACTTAACTATGTTGACTGCAGCAGAACACAACACAGTTTATTGTACAATCAATGAGGACAGCTATGGTTTATCCCAGTAAGAAGCATTGTTAGGTCAGTTTTAAAATAAAGACTTAACATTGGTATGATTATGTAAATATTGCTCCAAGTACCATCTTTCTATTGTCTCACAAACTAATAGATGCAACATTTCATTATTCTGTCCCATGCAGATTTTTGGTTTAATTATGTCATTTTGCATCTTAGAAACCATTTGTATCATTTATTTTATATAAAATGAGATATTAATACACCTATGCCACTATAGAACTTAAGGAGGAAGCAATTAAAAGCATGATTAATCAGACAATTTATTATTGGGAAAAGGTAGGACAGGTTTCAAGTGCAGAACTGATTTCTTCAAAGGTCACTGATAACTCACTTGCCCAAAACTAGATCCAGTGATGTTGGAGAAGGATTTCAGATGCCCACTTACTTAAATTACACCAAAATTAAGCATAAATTGTATACATCTGATTATACCTACATGCAAATCTCTCATTAAATTCAGTGCCTAGTACAAGACTTTTTTAATACAAAAACAGAGATAGATTATTGTATTACACATATACTAATGGCCCAAGGTTTCTATTTGGCAATTCTTGTGAGTCTAATCCTGGTTCAGGAGCCTGATTATCTATTTTCCTATCTGTATGGCATGGATTTCCACACTCAAGGAATTGGGTTAATACTTAAAAGCTGACAGAGACACACATAGACCAAAAAGGCTTTTTGTTATATATAGCAGGATTCTAGCAGATTCCAAGGATTTGGTCAGAAAGGCTATATAACGCTGTGACATACATCTCCTAACGGTGACTAGCATAAAGAGATTTTTTTCTTCCTGATTTAAACAATAGCCCACACTAGCAGACACACATCTTGTAGTGTTTCTCTCCTGGCCCTTTCCAGCAGGTTCTTCCATGGGATCTCAGGAAGAATGCTGTATATTCAATAACCTATTCTTATTTTGTTTGCTGACCAGTAGACTTTCCCAAATATTTTTTATTTTACAACAACATATGAATTTAAATTGGCCTCTCAGTCTAGGTTTATTATGAAACAAAATATAGGACTTTGTAGCACTTTAAAGACTAACAAGATGGTTTATTAGATGATGAGCTTTCGTGGGCCAGACCCACTTCCTCAGATCAAATAGTGGAAGAAAATAGTCACAACCACATATACCCTTTCCCAAATATTTTTTATTTTACAACAACATATGAATTTAAATTGGCCTCTCAGTCTAGGTTTATTATGAAACAAAATATAGGACTTTGTAGCACTTTAAAGACTAACAAGATGGTTTATTAGATGATGAGCTTTCGTGGGCCAGACCCACTTCCTCAGATCAAATAGTGGAAGAAAATAGTCACAACCACATATACCGAAGGATACAATTAAAAAAAAATGAACACATATGAAAAGGACACGGTCTGGCTACGGTGCCCGTGCCAGGTGCAAGCCTGCCAGCACCCAGCCAGCAGAC